GATAATATGATTACAGGGATAGCACATGAATACAGGGATAACACATGAATACAAGGATAACACATGAATACAGTGATAACATGATTACAGGGATAGCACATGAATACAGGGATAACACATGAATACAGGGATAACACATGAATACAGTGATAACACATGAATGCAGGGATAACACATGAATACAGGGATAACACATGAATACAGGGATAACATGATTACAGGGATAGCACATGAATACAGGGATAACACATGAATACAGGGATAACACATGAATACAGTGATAACACATGAATGCAGGGATAACACATGAATACAGGGATAACACATGAATACAGGGATAACATGATTACAGGGATAGCACATGAATACAGGGATAACACATGAATACAGGGATAACACATGAATACAGTGATAACACATGAATGCAGGGATAACACATGAATATAGAGGATATTACATGGGCGCGCGGAGATACGGATTTTATCTTCGAGTGTTGAAAAGATCTCTCACGAGAAGATAAAATTCGAATCTCACACATGAATACAGGGATAACATGATTACAGTGATAACACATGAATACAAGGATAACACATGAATACAGGGATAACACATGAATACAGGGATAACATGATTACAGTGATAACACATGAATACAGGGATAACACATGTGAATACAGGCTCACGGGAATATATATATTAGCATAATATGCAAATAAAAGTTTCTATATAACGGAAAATTTTATGCAATTTATTCATTATGTGTTTTATTTATTAAATATTTTTGTTAAAATAATACATGATTTCATAACAGAATTTAAGCAACTAATTACTCGCATAAATTACTTTTCTCTCTTACGGAATTTAAGCAACTAATTACTCGCATAAATTCACATGAGGTCGAGTCCGCGAGGCCGAATGGGCTATTAGCTCGTAGTCCACGAGGACGAGAGGTCTAATTGTTTTAGTATAAACATACTAAATATCCTTAAAATAATTCATTATGTTTGTACTGTTAGTATAAACATACAAATGGTCTATCACTCATACTGCGCTGTGATTGGCTACTCTACTAATGGTCTAATTTGTGATAGTACCACTCGCGGGAAAATCAAAATGGCGGACTCGGCCTCATGGGCTATTAGCTCGTAGTCCACTCGACCTCGAGGTCTAAATATTAATTATGACACGATGTTGAGGAGATGTCAGTGTATTAGACTTGTATGAAAAAATATTATCGTTGCCAAGGTAACGCTTATCACACGAAATGCCATTGGACCGTGAAACACTTTTGAACGTAACAAATTAGTGTCTTTTCTTTGAATTACGCAGCCTTTGAATATTTCACTTTCTTTCTATAGCTTATTGTTTTTCCAGTATTTTTTTAGCCTGTGTACATCCGTTTCTCACCCCTCAAAAAAGTGAGAAACGGATGTACACAGGCTATATTTTTTGAATGTTAGCTTTTTCTTTACAATGAGACCCAATATTCATTCACGTGTATATTTTTCGGCTTTGACTTATCATTCTATTTCCCTAGATCCATTAATGACTAAATTCAACAGTAGAAGCGAGCTGCGCCATAATCTGGAGAACCAAGATAGACAAAACTTTTAAAAATGCTTCAGAGAGTCCATTACATCCGGTCATTTCCGCTTGGTAGTTTTGATGTTATTTGTGACAAGCGTCACGCATTATACTTTGGCTTCTCGATGGCTCTTTTCCATCGTATTGATCCAGTTAAGGTCAGCCAATGTCACATACACGCCTGTGTAAGTTAGAGCTTTAAGCAATTCAGTAAACGGTATCACTCGTCGTCGATCTCTTGCGAACTTTCCAAACTCTCATCTGCATTCAAAAATTCCTGTTCTTGAGAGTTAATCCTGGTTTGCACAGAAAGCTATGCAAATGTTTCTCAGAACTTCAGGATTTGAAATCTTTCTGTAATTGTTCCCGGTGGTAACAGTGACGTATACTTACTTCCTCATCACTACACGGCAACTGTAGCTATACTAATTATGTTTTGATTTAAGGTTCAACCTGCCACACATTTCGTTTAATTACTTTGTACATACGTCTATTGCATTTGACGTAAATTATATGGTGATTGTGTCTTATTCATACGCTTTCCTGTAACGGAGACCGTTGCAGGTAGGCGTGTAAGACGTGTGTAAGAGCTACGCCACGTGAAACGAAACCCCTACTCAAAGCCTTGGAATAGATGTATACGACTAAATCATGCAACATAAAGATCTTTTAAGACGATTATAATTCATAGCTATTAAAGTTAAAACTTAAAATAAACATTTTATACGAATAACAGGAGATACTTTTTTGTTATTGCAATAATAAAGCTTGTGTTTCGAAAGAGGAAGTATTACGGTGATCGTTCCAGTTATTAATCCGAATCCAAAATAGCTCTCAAGTTTACTTTCGCTTCCGCCTTATTCAAAACATTGTTTCGAATAACAAGAGCGTACAAGCTCTCACGAAGACTGCAAGGTTGAGTTTTATTGTTAAAGTCTGGATATGGACTGGTCTACGCTCGTTACAACCCTTGGTTTAGGGTTTTTGTTCCAAGTAAGTTCAATTCTCATTAACCATTTTCGAATATCGCAATTTTCGGCGGTCTTTTTTCGAAGCACTTAATAGGATCTCAAGTACTTGAAGTCATTTTCAAATCGAAGATTGAAAAAAGGGCAACACTGCAAAAATATATAAACAACATGCTAGTTTGATTTGCTTGCTTTCAGTGATTTTTGTTATCGATTTGTTGATCAATAAAAAGAGTAACACCGAGAAGCCAAAACATTTTTAAATGCAAAAAATATCATCACCCTGCATAACAAATTTAATATAATCTGTGATTTGCATGTTTGGGATTATATTATTGTGTTTTTAGTCGAATGGTTTGAAATTATCCATCTCAACTGTAGTCGTAGTAATCATTTTTTTCCGTCTGTGTTATCTTTCTGTTATCAATTCCACTTTTTCATATATTGAAACTAGTCAGTTCAGCATGCCCAAGTCTCTGTGTGGAAAACAACTCTCCCCGACATTTATATATAAAGAAATAACATTAATCGTGACACAGAAACCGGTAGATGAATACCGCGAGATATTTAGTTTTGAAATGGTGCAAATATCGTGTATCTGTGATCTCACATGGCCTCAGTGAAATCCTATAACTGTAATACAATAGTTGTTAGCTTCATTAGAATGAGTTTCGATATTTATGTTGTAAACTACTTAGCGTTTCGCAAGGATTTGATCACCTTTTGATATTTTGTTTTGAAAGTACACATCATATCCTGAATCGAAAGTACGTCAAAGAGAAAGAGAATCAAAGGATCATCTTACGTAATAACATCAACGATATCGTGAACAATGCCCATAAATGCAAGAACAGTCATAGTAAACTGTTGTTCTTCAGTGAGAAAAGAGTGCATTATAAAGCAAGAAAAAAGGCTGGATGTCAAAAATAATATTCTTTGTTTTGCCTTAAATTATTCCTTACTGCAGACAGCCAACTTGCTGTTTCCTTACGACGTGCTGATGCGGCCCAATGAAAGCCGAAATCTATYATTATTTACTATTATTTATGAAAGAGCTAATTGGTCTCGTATCTCCTTTTCAAATACCTCCAGATGCATTTTGCAGGAGAATGCACATCTTTGGGTGGTTCCAGGGATTATGGGTTATGGTTCTGGGTTATGTATTTCTGGTTTCACCCACCCACCCACCAGTTTTCCAGTTAATCGCCTTTTTCACCGTCTTGTAACTCAAAATCTGGAACCTACAATTATAAAGCCTGGGAACACTCCTGTTAAGGCTGGGGATACTCAACTATAAAAATCGCAAACACCAAAATATTATTTTAAATATATCTATCATTACTGATTGATGTTAGCGCGATTTTTATAAGCTTGTTCGCGTAWATATATTTCAGTTTCATCTTTTGATATACGTTTTTCCGCAGACAATGTATTTTTTCGAAGTAAGAGGCAAGGAATTGGATGATTGTAGAAACTGGCAATATCTACTACAAGGTGGTAAAAAATGTGAGGATTGTCCGGCCTGTCCAGCTGGGACAATGTACACAACACACTGTGGACGTACACAAGATTTTAATGGAAACATCGAAATTAAAGGGCCAAAATGTAAACCTTGCGAACTGGGAYTCACTAAGCCAGTTAAATCAAAGAATGCTTGTCATCGCTGCAAACAGTGTGGAAACAGACACGTTATTCAGTCATGTAATGCCACGCATGATCGTCAATGTTCTGACTGCAAAAAGGGGTAAGCAAGACTGATTTTTATTGCACACATGCATGGATTACAATTACTACCATCATACTTTGTCGTACTCTGAATGAATGCTGCTCATCATTCAGTAAGGGCAACTAGACCCGTCTTGGTCTCGTGGAAGCTAAACAATATACTATACAGGGCGGAATGGGTTATTGTCTGGTAGTCCGTTCATAATGCTAAGAGGTCACAATTGTGCCGGAAATGGGGTCCATTTTATTATTTGTCACAATCCGCCATTTTTGTTAGCTACTATAAATGACCTACTAATTATGGATGTCCTAACTATCGGTCAAACTAGATCTCTAATGATGATAGCCAATCAGAATACTGAGCGTTAGACAAGATGTTTGTTTCTAATTGTCTGAAATCTGTTTTWTCAGGTTTTATATGGAAAGTGGTAATTGCCACCCTTGCCAGCCTTGCTGTGGAAAAGAAAAATTTAGTAAGGAATTCGGAAACGAGTACATAAGACARAAGTGCGTTGATGATAAAATGGGGGACTGCTGTTGTCGCCCAATAGAGGGGTGCACCAAAAAATGTTATTTTAATGCAACAACGTCCCCGCYTATCCTTTCGATTGTGATCACCAGTCCAAAGARTTTTCTTCCGACTGCTAGCACAAGTAGGGCCACAAAACAGCCGATCGTCAGCTCGTATACAGAGACAACAACAAACTCTATCATCAGTTCATCTACAAAAYCAAACACTTTTGATCCAAATTTTGGTGGAGTAGACCTTCCTAAGTCAAAATCCGAATCGTCGAGCACTAAAGAAATTGGTACGTAATCTGGCTGCCTGAAATTAATTGATTTATCTGCATAACGAGATACATTTGTCACATAGCTTATATGCCATATATATCTTGTGGATATRTCCTATCTAACTTATTATAACATATTATGCATATGACATCCAAACTTAAAAAAACTCATTTATAATTCATGAGCTATTAGACCAATTGGGGTATCCCAATTTGGTCATGTGTGTGACCTTTATACCGCATAAAAAAACACAGCTTATGGTTTAATTTCCGCAGGATCTTTATCTGAAGGCACACGTACCTTTATGAAAAAAACACCTGTGCCTTTAGAAATAGATGACCCCCGAAAAAAATATACTGACTTGCGTTCAGAAGTACCAAAATACACTTGTAAGGATCTCAGTTTTAATCTCTAATCKCTTATCAATACTTTTCGTGACGCGTATTCAATGTAGGGAAACATGCCAAAATGACCTTAAAAGAGTCATGTTTCTGACAATTTTTTTCCCGTCATGGTCTTTGCTAGCAACGTCAGCTTGTTAGCTTCGCGCTGATTGGTTAGTAGCATTTTMCTTGACTCTATTTAATACCTTTAGGTGGAGTGGATCCTGGCTGGCCAATTGCTCTTGGTACTATATGTTTTTTGTTTATTTCTGTGGTTATGCTCTTGTCATTTACACACTCGAATGCAATCAAGAAAATGAAGTCCTTCATGCTGAACAACGTAAACACCAAGTGTGAACATCATGAGTCTAGTGACTGTGCCGGTGACAAAGGGATTGTAGTACGTGTTGGTGGCAGATTCGAAGAGAAGGCTAGACCAAACTTTACAAGTAAGTCAATTTTCGAATTCAGAGCGAATAAGCATTAAGAGTTTCCCTAAAAGCCATGAGTTCATTGAGTTTATTCAAATGAATGGACCTGAATTTTTGTGATATTAATGAAGTAGCATTCATGACTATAATCACGTGTAGGTACATAAAGTTATACTTGGTAAACCTTCTATTGATTGAGGGACATGGAAACCTTTTATTTGTACATATGAGAACCATGCATATGGACATCCATATATGGAAGTCGTACGACAGACTCTACTCGGGCGTTTGTATCTGACTGTTCGAATAATTGATTGTTCCACAGACTACGCCCAATTGGTCGAAGGTACGGAAACAGACTCATCTGTATCACTGCAACCACAGAACCTAGTAAATGCTACCGATGACGATCATGCTTTGATGTGCGCTTGCCACATGACCGAAAGAAATACAATTAGTTCAGCCGATTCCGAAAGTATGTTGATTACCACAGTGTGCGTTTAAACATATGTAGTGTGTAATCTGAATTAATATTCTATAATTTATTCCATTATTACGGACGTTGATGCAGATATCGCAGGACCTTGGTTGTATCGTGAGCTTGACATCCACAGGCAGCACAGGCGACCACGCTCCAGAGCAGAGAAACCTAACGATGCTGCGATGTTCTGTGGAGAGTTCGTGCAGCTACAAGAGTTAGACGAATCCAGAACGAACACTTCGATATCTCTAGAAGATCTTAGTGAACACGATAACGTCGTCCCCCCGAGTAAATCGGACATAGAAAATGTACAAGAGAACGAAACGACCGATGACGTCAAGAAGGAAGGAGAAGAGAACAGTGAGACAGAAGAGACAGTTACCGCGGTACCAGTTACTACTCAAAATAGAGATGAAAACACTGTTGTCATAGCAATTGGACAGCACAATGAAACGATGAGTCATATGGATGTTAACGCTCACAAGGTGACTGGGGAAAGATGGAGAGAAACAAAACGGAAGAAACCGGCATCACATAAGGTAATCACATTATAAGGCGATATGCCTAACTGGAAATATAGCTCATCAATGAATATTTCTCATTAGAAGTCTAAGAAGAAAACAGAGGACAACATGAATGACGAATACTTTCCGAGTGTTAAATCCAAAGGTAAATTCGAGCAAAAGCATAACAATGCCAACTGGCTCGAAAAACTAGTGCGCTTATCATCATCTTTTATGCATTSCCTCACTAGTTAATTCTTATCCCATTGATGATGTAGCTTTCCCATGACGTTGAGGAATTTTAAGAACCACTAGTTYACGTAGATAAATAAAGTTTCTTGTACTGTATTGCATTGTTTACCCTCTCCTCTGCTCAATGGACTGCTGGGATGAGTGCCCTGGGAACGAGGTTGCGGGAAAACGTCAGTCAATACAAAATATTATGAATAATAATTTGGTCTTTTCTGGAAGCCTTTTTGTTTTTGAATGATTCTTTACGATTTTTTTTTTTTGTCCTTCAATTCCATTTTTAACAGAAACCTTACAGTGCACTTGCGGAAAATGCTCATATCGTCCTTATGTGAGAGACATCCAGCTTTGTAACTGYAAAAGTAAGTAACTGTTGCCCTTGAAAATGATCTTTTTTCCCTAATGCTTCCAACACCYCCATAACACAAACACCTCCTATGCGTATATGCGTGATTTCCAATCAGTCGATCGCGAATAAAGGAAAAGATAGTTTGGCTATTGAAACAATAAATTTYAAGAGGGAGTGCAAACCATCTCAACTCATTACTTTCAGGCTGCGTTCCCCAGCCAGATGATGATTTATACAAGATTATAGAAAGACGCTGCTTAAGGTCAGAAATTTGCAACGAGCTCAACAAGAAGGATGTTCCAAATTGGAATGATTTGTCGATATACATAAGAATAGATAGACAAATACCAGACATCAAAAGCAACGATAATCCTGCCCATGTTGTGYTAGAGAGGCTCAAGACCTCGCGACCAAGGATGAGGCTTGAAGACTTTAACGTCATATTGAAGAATATACGACGTCAAGACATAATGGACGTCATCATGCGTCATCATACCACGTGCTTGCTATGTCGACGAAATTCCTTTGATGCCAGCGTACATGATCTACACATGCCGTCTGATTTTAAGACCTCGAACTTTGTTAAAAGTATTTAGTCGAATTTCTTTGTTTATCTCTTATCGAACTTTGTTAAAAGTATTTAGTCGAATTTCTTTGTTTATCTCTTATCGAACAATGATATCGAACAATGATTTCTTCTTTTAGTCAATCAATGCTTGTAATTCTTCAAACAAAAAATTACATTGCTTTCAAAACGGTTTTTGGGTCCTTTTCAGTTTCTATGCTAAAGATTGTTACCCTGCTGAACCTGTATGAGCTATTGTAGATTTTTTTCAAGAAAGGTACAGGTCCACCAAGCATTCAAAAACTGAATTCCAAGGTCACAAAGAACTACACAATACGGAGAAAGTATAGAGCTACTTACACCCACATCAATTTCAAATAGGTCTGATATAACAATTACTGAGAACTATCTCTATATAAGACAATAGCTATATGAATTTTTGAGTAATATTAWTATCATTATCGTTTTTTATTTTTTAAACTGGACAGCTGAATTGGTCCGTCCGTGTCGAAGAGAGTAGTTTTATAAAGATATCGACAGGTCCCAGCAATRCGAGTTGATATATGTTCTATAGCAGTGTAGTTAAGTGGGTCCGCAAATTCAACTACATTTACAGGCAAACAAAGCGAAACCAAACCAGAAAATCACACTATCACTTAGTACGATTCCTCCAATAAACCTTGGCTTTTAGCGATCTCTTTTACACTGTGTTAGGGTCAAAACYATGTAATATTTTCTTGAATTGTAGTATAGCCTGCGCAAATGCAAGAATTCTGTTAGCATTGAAGACAATGAAAATAGTTTGAAATTCCGAGAATTTATCTAAATTTCTAACAGAGTGCTAAAGATATCGTGAAACTCAATTTTCAGCCCAAGAACTCAAAAGTATCATAAATGTATGTCGTACTTTATTGTCATTATAAGTATAATAAAGAAAGATGGAAGAGTCCTGTATTCGCAGGCAGAGGCGAGCATGCGATTTCGCTGAATTTAGACAGCCCGCTGAGAAACTCCTTCTCCTTCATTCGTTTTCTGATTGGCGTGGGGGAAACCCAAGACCCAATTTTCACTGGAAAAAACGCGCGCTTTAAAGGTTGTAAATTTGATGTAAATATGRTGTAAGTGTCYAAAATTCTTTAAATTTAATGGAAATCATTTACATCATATTTACAGAATTTTTGACACTTTATTTACATCAGGTTTCTTACATCAGTGTTTTCTGTAGAGCTTTCTCAGTGTAATAAAGCCCATCCCTGGCCCATCCCAACTGTACGAACAAAAATCCCAGACCCCATCGTAATCATCGCCGTCAGTAAGAACTRTAGGATGCCAGTGGTTACTAAACTAATTAAAGTTTACATGCACAATTTTCATATTTACATGCATTATAGACCAGCTATTGAAATGCTTAGCTTGGGTTGCCTGCGTCCAAACGTCAGTCAATATTTTCTTAATCCTAATCCTAACCACTGTATTATTGGCATTTATTGACGATTTGCATGTGCTATAAAAATAATTTTGTGGCTGCATTCTTGAAGATTATCTCGATAATTATTTTAGAAATATTTTTTTCTGGGTTTCATCAAAAACCAAAACCCCCCAAAAATGTCTTTTAAGACAAAAAATGATTAATTAAATTGATATAAAACAATTCTAAGAATGAGAATACATAAACTGCCAAATTGACTATTAGCACACAGCTTATATTCACTGCTCTGATAGCAGGAAACGTGACTATTAAGCAAGGACACCGCTGAGTGTGACCTCAGACAGAAAAACATTTTATGAGGCAAAAAAATGAAGCAAGTTCCAAAAAAAGTTCTATTGATAATGACCCWTGGTAGATTATCTTCAAGATTTTATTAAAGGCTGTCCATAAACTAGTTTTTCAAATATACATTTGCGCTTATTATTCTAGAACGTATTTGACCCCAAAATATATGCCATTTATATCAAAGACTCGCATAATTCTCAAGCTGAACTATTGTCGTGGAAGGCTATTCGAAGGCTATTTCTGAATTTCTTATTATACCTTAGGTAAAATATTTKATCATTATTTCTGAAGAGGTAACCTGAAACAAACAATGTAACCAGTCGTTCCAAAGTTTTGTTTACTTTTCAAACAAATGTATCACGACTTGTAAAATTTGCATGCTGAATGTGTTATCACGAGAATAGTAAACCGACCAATATCCGGCATCCCCGACTCAAATTTCAAATTTTCAGACACGCGAAGAGACTCGGTGAATCTTGTGTAATCGTCAGGCAGGGAGCTGTAAAAGCTCTAGCATGAAGAAATCTGTYTTCTTGTAATGACAGTGAAATGTGTCTATGGTTCTACAGATTGAAAAACGTTAAAGGTAAGTATATAACTATCAGATTTATGATTTGAACTTTGTGTATTTGCTACGAAATCTTCAAGTAACATAATCTGTGCATTAAAGTTTTTAGAAAAGCCAACTGCATGTTGTTATGCATTGRCTCATTTGAGCCTAGTAAGCTCAAAAGGAATTGTTTAATAGCTACTACGTCAATTTATAAAGTCTCTTGCTACTATGTTCATATTCCTTTTTGAAGAAATAGACTTTGAAATTATCATAGCATTCTAAAACGGCTATAAACTGAAGAATACCTTCTAATATGGTTATTCGAAAATTAGTACAAAAAAAGCGTTTATTTTCGACGGAAACACAACTAATACACAAATAAAACACAACTTTATTTCTGTCCATTCCTTGACCTTTTGATGCATTATGCAACTAAACACGAGTCTAGTATAAAGGATTTACCAGTAGTAAACACAGAATACACGTTCTTGGTTACTTGTTTCATTTCTGAAATACTTGTAAAAAGTTCTTATTACAAAACTCGAACTCGTTATATCTGTTATATAAATCGCGCGCGTCTCAAAGAGAAAGCAGAAGAGACTCAACATGGCTGTAACTTMATGTTTTATTAGAAGCGTTAAAGATTTTGGTATTATGGCGGTTACCAGGACAATAATTCAGCCTCACCTTCTTTTGGGGAGATTTTAATTCATCTTTAATATCAGTTTTTACAACATTTTATATAAAAAATATTGACAGGTTTGCGTGATTGTTACTGCTTGCGTTACAGTSATTTTAAACAAAATTTCAAAAGGAGTAACGCAACGAACTCGAACCCTGTTGATGGAGCCATGATTTTTCTCAGGCTCTCGCGCTTCAGTTGTTTCATATTCGTTTTAGATATTTAATTAGACTGCTTAGAGTCGACGTCCTTAGAGTCTCTAATTGTTTATTGTAGTGTCAGGTTTCACAGCATGCTTTCGTTCCGGTCTTCCTGTGCCATCAGTTCATGAATTGTTCTTTAAAAAAAATTCATTAAATAGAGTGTTTAAAGTGAATTTTTGCGCCGACACGAAGTTGATTAGTTGGTTTTATCCACTTGATTTGATTAAGTTATTATTTCTATGTTTGATTTTTCAAGATGGCAGTCCACAATCCATAGAGTCATGCCTCTTCTGCTGTAATGTGTAGAGTACTATGGAACCCATTACATGTTCTTGTGACTTATATATCGATGATACTTAGCTTAAACTTTCCTGGCACTTCAGGTTTGTAAATTATATTTCTTGTTCACTTTTAGAGAATCACGTCCTCACGCCATTCTCAGTCATTTTAGTTRAAATAGTAATACATCGGCATAAATGAATGAAAACCTTTACTAGTAAATAAAAGTTGTCATGAGAATGTTTTACAGTAAATGTCAATATGGCTAAGTGAAAATCCTTCAACAAAAAATACAGGTAGTCCAAGCTATGCATTAAATGGCTCGAAAAGGCCTGAACATGTTGGCTTTTYCTTGACAAGGAAAAATTCCATTTTACCCCATTTACACGAGCAATTTTTCCTTGTCGGYAAGGRAAACTTGTCAACGAAAAATTGCTCATGTAAACGTCGCTTAACGAAAAAATGTTATTTACGTAGTACGAGAATTTCAGCTCATTAAATCCATATCAGCAGAAGTACATGTACTTCTGATATCAGTAGAGATTTCAACATATTAGCGACGTGAAATCTCGATTTCATATTGTTTTTTTTTAGTTTTTTCATATGTTTTTTTTTAGTTTACGGAGCCGGTAACATTCCTTTCGCTTGGATGACTGCCACATCAATTTATGACAAATTTCACACAGCGCGTGATGCGGTATTAGGTAACAGCACTAGTGCTTGGTGCGCTGGAAACTCTACATCTCATCAGTATATACAGGTATATGAAACACATTGATGTCCTTTTTAGTGAAAGCGAGGAAATTAATT